TGGAGGTACCTGAAAAGGAAATTGGATTAAAGGTGGTCTTAGTGAACTGAGAGCGTGACCGCAGTGCCCAAGGGACAACTGCTTGAGGTCGGTCACACACGACCTTGTTATGGGTAATTTTTGTGTTAGCTCCGTACTTATTGAGACCTTACCGCCGGAGACGGATATCCGTGGGATAAGGCGAGGTGTGCATTTTTAGGGTCGACCTTTTCTAACCCCACCCCTCCTTGTGGGAAGGCAGCATCGCTGTCATGCTGGTTGTCTGAAGGAAACACCTTACTGCTGTCACACCTCTGTACAGTCAGCAGTACGACTTCGCCTTCGGACCTTGGGTTTGTTGCTTTTAGTCTTACCGCTCTTCAACCGACCTGTCTGACATGGTAGGACCTTGAGGAACGGTTGTTCCAGCCAGTATAGCTCGGTTGCTTCATCACGATAGGCAAGCCCGACCACCACGTCAAGGTAGCAACAACGGTCGGGCATTAATATGTATTTATTTGCTGAATAAAATTTAAAAGAAAAATAGTTTTATACTGTAGTTTACATCATAAACCAATATTACTTAGACAACTATTAAAAACTAGGAAACATTGAATACCACTATTTCGTTATAGTATGAGACCATACATCAGCAGTGTGCATTCACAAACCTCATTGCGAATTAAATTCAGGACCTTTAGGTCTCGCGTTAGATGTCTAAATTTTAGATCACTAAAGTTTAATATCGAATAGTTGACATTTTTAGTGTCAATGAATTCGCGATATTGCTCAACCATGTCCCAATCCACTAGGTAGGTAACTATTTCGTAATCGAAATGGTTGAACTCTACTGGCCACAGTTTCCTACCAGAACTCCGAGAATTACATCTAGAAATTAGTTAATAGAGAGCACGTAAATAGTATGTAAGGCAAGTGGAATGATGGTATCATGGTGAAAAAAGAAGTTCCTGAAGAAATATAACGAAAGTAAACCGTACAAAATAAAAATATTTTCCAAGAGGTTTTTACGGAGAAACTCTGTTAAGCCAACATCAGTCTCTCATTTTCATCAATAGACGTGATTTTTTTTATTGTAATATTAATCGCGATAACATTTTTTTCCAATCCACAGTTTCTCACAACCTTTGCCATTCCCTGATTAGTTGTTGATGTGTTTAGTTCTTTAATTTTTCTGAGTCCCAAGGTCATGTTATGTTATCATAGAAAGAGAGTTGTTCCCTTTTAACTTTCCCCCCTTGATTTTCAGAACATAAAGTTTTTCTAGCTCTCTTGTCTACTTCCTGGACTCGATAGTATTGGGGATAACTATCAAAACATTCTGTGTCAGTGACTGTACTACTGAGTTCACATTAGTTCCTGTTCGTAATAGAAGTTTTCATCGTTAATTAGAAAATGATCGTACAATCAAATTTCATAGGTAATAGATCCACAAATAACGAAAACTGACTTGATTTTTATTATAAATAATAATGCTGAATAAATATAAAAGGAAACATTGAATAAAACTAATTAGAAATGATTAATTACAGATATTTAGTGAAATGATTTAAAACTGATTATATAGCGATATGAAAATATACCCACTTTCTGTCCTTCTTCAATATTAAAAACATTTTAACAATTTTAATATTTGAATTCATGAGTCTATCCAGGCTAGACCACCATTGAAAACCTAAAAGCAATGGACGGCCGTCTCGTCCTAGTATGGGACTCCTCAGCATTGCGTATCTACGATCCCGCGCTATGGACTCGAACCTAGGGCCTACGATTTAGCTTAGATCAACTCATGTATTCAACTGTTAAAATTATTAAAATCTCCACAGAATTCTAAATCTGACTTGAACAATTCCCGATATTTACTTTTTCCTTATTCGTGAAAATACTTATTGTTCATACTTTGATTATTCACTATCAGAATTCTCATCTTTGTGTTATTATTCTAAATTATAACTACTTGAACTTATATTCTATAGTTGAAAATTTTTGATTACCAATGAAATTTCAAAATGCACGTTTCTTATTGTTATTTACACTGAGATTATAATTCAGTACCTATTGCTTTGAATACAGGTACATTTAACTAACACATATCCAAAAATATGCTATTCAAAATAGAGTCATCTTGTAGTTGAGGCCTATATCGAAGTAACTGCTCCTATGTCAACAAAAACTAATCAAAACTCCAGTTTTGGTCAGAATTAAAAACAAATATCATAATAAAAACATATACACAGAGATCCTTCGTCTTTAGTTTCTTTTATCATTGATATATATTATCAGTAGTTTCATGTTTTCACATTTTATTTTATTCATTTCCTCTATTGTTTTATGTCTGAATTTGTGTAAAACATAAGTTGATGTAATTTCAACAATTGAGATCGTGAGTCAATTGAAGATAGATCACTATGGAAAACCTGAAAGCGCACTGGACGGCCGTTTCGTCCTATTGTGGGACGCATCCATGATCCCGCTTCGAGAGATTTCAACCCAGGACCTGTCAGTCTCGCGCGCGAGCGCTTAACCACTAGACCACTGAGCCCACCGGGATTCAATGGTGTTAATGTCTAACTTCAACTAATCCATGAAATGGAGTGACACATTCACCATTGTCATCGGTGAGTTACTATGATATATATATTAGCTTCAAAATAGGAAAAATTCACCTTTTCATTCACATTAAAGCCTTTTTATGTCTGTCTGTCTATCTATACATCTATCTATATTCTTATCTGTCTGTCTATCCCTCCAAAAAATAATTTTAACTATCATTAATTTTATTGCGGTGACTTTTCTTCTGAGAAAAAAATGAATTTAAGATTTCATGTTCCTTTCCCTAATTTATTATTATTCTAAAAAAAAACAAAGATTAGTGTCAAACTATCTATTTTGATGAATAGGTTGATTATGTTATTAATTAATAGTTTGGTTACTTTTATACTACTGAATATACAAACAAGAATATAGTAGTATTAAAAAAACTAAATGAGATGTCATTATCTAATTACTTTTGTAAACAAGAAAAAAAAACTTTTTTACGTGTACATTGATGTGTATGATCAATTAGTATGCTAGAAATTAATAAATCAGGGAGAGAGAGAGAGAGGGGAAATAACACTGGTATGTATACATTGACATAGATACACATATTCATGTACACATACCTTTTTTGGTTTTACATAATGAGTGTTAAATTTTTGAAGAAAATAAAATTAATTTGAAGAAATAATTATATAATAAATGAGTGTCAACTGAAAAGTCATTCAATGAAGAAAGAAAAAAACTAAGGAGGATTAGTTCCTTCAAAGATTTTGAGTACACTTTGCTGACAAACGTTAACTACTTAGTACAAAACCTAGGTCAAGCAGGGTATTGCCATGACTACCTCCAAACATCTAGCATCAAAATATAGTATATAAGATTTTGAATCACTTGGATTAGTGACTATATAAAAAATTGACCAATCGATTTCGATCAGGACACTAAAGGAATGCATAAACATGACATCGACCACTACTTAGTGATCAATCGCTGTTAAACCAAGGAGTACATTTTAGACACTCTTTTTTAGTGAAGAATTCCATGCAGTAGTGCAGTACTGACAACTTTATATGGGGTCGAACTCAGGATGATGAGAACAATGTCTGCATTTATTCAAGAGGGAAAATGCAGTTCACATATGGTTGTTGTAATAACAATAATTGTTGCACCTTTTACATAAATGACAGGCCTTCATTCAAGGGGTTAATTTAATTCTCAATATGATGCTTAATCACGTAGTCGCAAATGTTTTATCACGTGACTAGCCCAATAAATACACAAACTAAGGTACTAAACTTATTCATATCACTTGGTAAGAAATCTTAGGGATTGTATGTCATTTTGACAGCTGTTAACGAGGACAACATATGAAAGGGTAAAGTCATTTTAAACTAGACCAAGAATTTAAATGCGTGCACAGATTTCTAATTCTATCATTCAGTTGAAAGTTGTAACTATCGTAGAAAACGGATGCAAAACATTCATCTCATACAATAAGTAACGAATTCCGTTATAACTATCCTTTATTTTAAAATCCTATTCTTTAAAATTATCAGTAAACTAAGATGAGAAAATTAGATGAAAATAACGGAATTTGGATATTAATTTGTTCGAAAAATTAGTACTTAAACTTTTTTGTACGCATTTATTATACATTTAGTTCATGTGATTTTACAGATTCCTTAATAGTAAGCCTCTATTTGCTTCATTACGTGGAATTATATATAGCCCCCAAATGCCCTGATACGATTGAGAGTGAGGAGAGTCAGCTCTCACTCTCCAAATGCTATCACATAGCCACGTGTATACAGCTACTACAAGGGAAGTCCTACTGACTGCCTCCTCGAGGCGAGGGTGTTGTCTACGAAATTGTGATGAGGAAAAGAAAATGTTCAGAACTTCAAGCAGGTTGGTGGATATAGAGGATCCAACTAGGTGAGTTGGAAAACTCTGATTTCAAACCAGTGGTACACATGGACTCCAGTATCCTGAGGGAACAAAGGGCATATGAACTTATTGTTTGCCAATGGCTAACGTGATACTGCATCTCCCAACGTTGCTCCATTGCCTTGTAGATTAGACCTGTAGGTCAAAGGCTTGGCGAGTGGCCTTCTAAGAAAACTATTTGCTTCGATTTGGGCTCTCGAGTAGTGTTCCAGCTCCCGCACAAACCATTCGACTTATTGTCTTATCCTTGATTTCTTACTGAGACTTAAAAACAGGGATTCTGCATTCATCAATGAATGTTAGTATATCAGGTCACTTAATTAGAGCATTATTATTATTATTATTATTATTATTATTATTATTATTATTATTATTATTATTATTAGTTCAAGCATGGCTCTTCAAGACCATATCGGGATTAGATGTATGAGAATTGTTCTTCTTTCTTTCCTATTGAAATAATATATTGAAATGTGATATTTTATACATTATAACAAAAGAATAATATTATTTACCTGAACTATTGTTACTATTATTATTATCTAATGATTCTGTAAATTGTTTATTGATTAGATATTTTTGTGAGTTGAAACTTGAACAACGTCGATTTTTTGATGGAGTTTGTATAAAATCATTTTCATTATTCAATTTATTATGCTCTTCTAATGGACTAGATACTTGACGTCGTTTACCACGATATGGATTATCTTGATGTAAATGACTAGAAGGTGTAATTGTTGTTGATATTTGATCAGATGAACTTGCAGAACATAATGAAGAACACAATATAGATGGTGATAATGCTGGGACATTAAGTGAACATGATGATTCTACATGATGATAATTATTTGAATAATTAGCTGAACATATTGATGATGTCTGTGAATAAATAATCATAAAAATTAAAAAATCAATAGGAATTACAAAAAATGCTGCATTGTTAAGAATAACAATAATTACATCATTTTTTCAGTTACAGCAATGAGTTCTTCTACTTTATGTCCATCTAACTTGTGAATAAATAACTAATTTGTGACAATCTTCAGATAAAATAATGATCGAGTGAAAACTGTTGTCGACTTTCGTTGACATATATATATATATATGTCAGAAGTCTTTTAATCTATGTCTTCGTATGTTTTTAAGTAATCGATGTCTGTCAATCATACATATTAAGTGTACTTCTGACCGTCATCATACAACAATGAATGAGATAATTTACATTCTATTTCCCTGTATATCCTTTTATCATCATGTATAAATTGGTAAGTTCTATTCATGTTAATTGCAATAAAACTTTCCTGTATTTCTTCTTAGCTATCCATAACCTTCGTCTATCTGATTGTAGAAGACCATAAGTTAGGGTCAAAACAAAACATAATATCAAACCAAAAAGTTACTACTAACTGTCGTACCATGTAGAAATGTACAAACTTTCTAGTTGAAGTTCGAATGGTAATTGTAATCATTGATTGTAGAATTTAGGTGGAGTGGCTGGAAATCAGCTGAACTTATATAACCTTATTCGTTTTTTTATATTCCTCTAAAATTTAGGTTTCAGCATTGCATCACGATTTTTTATGTTTCGGTTTCTTTTCGAATCTTATTTTCTGTTTGCAATCGTTGCTAACATTTACGATAATATAGGGTTAATTTTATATCGGTTTATGTCTAATTTAATTGTTCTCTCTTTATTATAGTGTTGCAATATTTAACGATCTGAATCGAAACACAGTAGTATCACAAGTTTTATAATGATTTATACAGCCATAGATTAAATGAACAGTGTATTAATCCATATATACTACTCAATTTTTACTTATCAATTAATTCTTTCATAAGAAATGTTATTTCATTAATTTTATGTTAAAAATTAAGAATTTCAAATATTAGTTAATACATTTTTAATAATTTCAACGGTTGAGATCATGAGTCAATTGGAGCTAGATCACTATGAAAAACCTGGAAGCAGTGGACGGCCGTTTCATCCTAGTATAGGATTCCTCAGTAGTGGACATCCACGATCCCGCCTCGCGAGATTCGAACCTAAGACCGATCGGTCTCGCGCGGGAACGCTTAACCTCTAGACCACTAAGCCGACAGGGATATGACGGTGTTAATGTCTAACTTCAACTGCTGAGGAGTCTCAAAATAAGACAAAACGGTCATCCAGTGCTTCCAGGTCTTCCATGATGGTCTAACTCTAATTGACTCATGATCTAAACTATTAAAATCACTAAAATATCCACGAAAACCCCTTCTGATATTAATCCATTAAAAAAATCTTTCAAACAAATTATAAATTTTAATTAAGGTTTCAATTGGTTCCTTTTTCAAAAATATTATTTTGTTCGTTATATTATTTTACTTGAAGAAGTGATAGTGATTATTATGCTGTTTTTATATCTTATTAGTAATGAAACTTCATTTTAAATCTGTGAATTATATAATAAGTATTATTATATCAAATACAAACTGTTTAATTTATCTGAAAAATCAAATTCTATGTGTAGGTTTTAATTGTTCATTTAGTTTAGTATGAAATAGTGATATCGACATAATCAAAATGTTGAAAAACATCGAAATATTTTGTTTATATATATGAATGTACATTAAATTTTTGTTTTACCAAGCTTTCTATGCTGAGAATTTTACATACAACCGATATCTCTCAGTATAGGGTTGTGAAGATTGTTGAGTTTTGATTGAGATCATGGATCGATTAATTTTGTACAATCATTGAAAACCTGGAAGGATTAGGTTCGAAGATCATGTGCAGGATCATTGATGTGCTCTGCTAATCAGTCTCAGGTTAGGATAAAACGGTCGTCCACTGCTTTCAGGTTTTTAGTGGTGGTCTAAGATTAATCGATTCGTGATCTCAATCAAAAAGTAACTGATATCATTTGGAGGATCATTGGAAGTTACAATGTACTGATTTGTTTTTATTTCAGTTTTAGGCTCCTGAACAGTGTACAGTTATACTTACGCCTTAGATTGAATAAAGGAGCTGCAAGTTTTGGAATAGCCATGACATGATTCTGTCAGAGGATCTAAATCCTACGATTCACCTGTTTTTACGTCAGTCAGTTTGTGATATATATATATATATATAGGAGACTGAATGTTTTTGATCATACTTATTTTCGAAGTATTGCTCCCTCATCGTTAAGAAATTATTCACTGCTCAGGTTACCCATAAGCTATCAGGCAAAAATGGCGAACCGGTTGACGCAGTTGTGGCTAGGACATGTGTAACGTATGGTCAACGACCGCCTACCTCAGTATTCAATTTTAGCCGGTGCAGAAGTAAGTTAGAAGAAAGATATGAGTGACCAAAGTAAAAAATGGCATCAATCTACGAAGTCAATGACTTGCTCTTAGCTACATTGGTAGATACAGACTACCTTGTTGGGTGTGAGAGATAATCATGATCATTGGTTAAAGATGTTAGATAACATACCTCGGGTTGGGTCAAATGAGTTTACCTTTCATCTCAATTTAGATCTCCGGTCCCAGCATTCCCTTGTATATGTCTCTTCAAACAATACTCCCAATATTTAGTCATTCTTGTCATAATTGATATTACATTTTCCGACTGCCTTGCTAATCATTTTACAAATATCACCACGTTGTGCTAATATACTAATATAACGGGTTAATTATACTGAGCTGACTGAATACCACTGAATAGGTCATAACAATACACGTAAGTCAGTCAGTCGGCTACAACGTAGGACCAGGCACATATACGCATCGGTCCAAGTTGCCATACCTCATTAACACAACAAGATGGACACCGGATTCATAAAAGTAGTTAATTCAGAGGTGGTAATATATAAAAGGAAGATTGGAATAAGGATATAGTACCGGAAGAAAGAATTAGTTCATAGAAAGAAAGATATGAAGCGATTTTGATCTCTTGGTTTAAGGAAAGAAAAAGAGTGTATACACCGACGCCATTGTGATCGATTCTGAGCCATGTCACCAAGAGTCTCCAGCCATTGGTTACGAAAGTCACGCGGACCCCAACCAAGTAGTCTGCATCTACTAACATGGCTCGGACTAGAAGTTAGTGACTTCAAGCACTGATGCCACGTTTTGGTTTGGCCGCCCCTAACTTTCTTCCAACCATCTCCAACACCGGTTAGCATTGCACGTCGTGGTAATTTATGTTCAGGCATACGCAACACGTGGCCCAACCATCTCAGTCGATGAAGATTCACAACCTCATCAACTGATTTACCATCATTCCCTAATACCCTGCGTTTAACCTCACTATTACTTACCCGGTGATCCCAGCAGACGCCAGAAATATTTCTAAGGCATCTGTGGTCAAATACTAGTAGCTTACGAGTGTCTTCTACTCTTAATGGCTATGTTTCGCTGCCGTAAATTAAAACAGAACGGACTGCCGCGCAGTATACTCGTCCTTTTATTGATAGACGGATATCTCGCCTTCGCCATAGGTGACGTAAGTTGGCAAAAGCCAAACGAGCTTTTTGAATCCGTGCAGAAATTTCGTCAGACACCAACCCATTAGCGCTGATCAGACTTCCAAGATAAGTGAAGCTGTCAACGCGTTCGACTACTTCACTCCCTATCCTTAGTTCAGGTGTTGATGCAGACCAGTCCTGAAGCAGCAGCTTGCATTTAGAGGGAGAGAAGCTCATTCCAAACATTATGGTATTGTTGCTCAGTGCTACCAAAAGGCTCTGCATTTTATCAGCGTCTTCACCAAACAGGACTATATCATCTGCGTATTCTAAGTCGATAAGTGGACCTCCTGGAAGGAGATCAATACCCGAGAATTCAGTCTACGAGAATGTTATTTCCATCAATAGGTCTATGATAAAGTAGAAAAAATTGAATTAGCGCATATTTATATCAAGTTAGATGTTAATTATGACTAACTGATATGACAATCTTAATTCAACGCCAACAAAGATTTACCGTCTCAACACTGAATTGGTTGACTTCTACACATAAAAATAAAAAATAAAACACTTTTAATATAATAGGCTTATGATGCAAAATTCAAAGGAACAAGTTGTCTAGAGTATGATAAGTTTCTTAATTTATTTAAAATTCCAACATGTGGAATCCATTAATGTTTACAAATCTACAAAATTCCGTTCACTTTTGTAGTGGTTGTTTGAATCTTTACATTGATGTTTAGGACTGCAATTGATAAGTCTCTTATCGGCATATGCGCATCATGTGCGGATCGCCTCGATATTGTCTTCAATCACAAGCATTAGGAGCAAAGATAGTGGTGGCTATGGGTGGAATCCAGGACAGGCGTTTCGTCTTATATGGGACTCGTCAGTCGAATGTACCTGCGTCTCAGAGTTGATGTTCACTCTGAGACTTAAAACCAGTACCGTTCACTTCAAACGCCATCGCGTTATTCACTTAGCTGTTAATTGAAATTTTCTCATGTGTATTTAATCAAAATTTCTACCTACAACTATTGTATAACATCAATTATTTAGAAATGACTCAGTATGAAATCAGTGAGCTACAACTTAGGACGAAGCACATAGATGCATCGGTCCAAGTCGCCACACCTCATTAGCACAACAAGTTGAACAACAAATTCATAGAAGCAGTTACTTCAATAATAGTAATATATAAAAGAAAGATTGCATATAAGATATAATACAGGAAGAAAGAATTAGCTCGTAGAAAGAAGGGTATAAAGTAATTTTAATCTCACGGTTTAAGGGAAGACAGAGAGTGTATACACCTACACCATTGTGATCGTTTCTGAGTCATGTCATCTAGAGTTTTCAACCACTGGTTACGATAGTCGTATCGACCCCAACCAAGTAGTTTGCATCTACCAACATGGCTCAGACGAGAAATTAGTGACTTCA